TTTGTTTTCTTTATACTGAGGTGTAATCCATACTGCAGACTGTAGTCTTTAATCTTCATCAGTAAGTGCTTCAAGTCATCCTCACTTTCAGCAAGCAAAATTGTGTCATCTGCATATCACAGGTTGTTAATGAGTCTTCCTCCAATCCTGATGCTGCGTTCTTCTTCATATAATCCAGCTTCTCAAATTATTTGCTCAGCATACAAGTTGAATAAGTATGGTGAAAGGATACAACCTTCACACATTCCCTTCTTGATTTTGAACCATGCAGTATCCCCTTCTTCTGTTTGAATGACAGCCTCCTGATCTATGTACAAGTTCCTCATGAGCACAATCAAGTGTTCTGGAATTCCCATTCTTTTCAATGTTACCCATAATCTGTTATGATCCACACAATCTAATGGTTTTGCATAGTCAATAAAACACAAGTAAACATCTTTCTGGTATTCTTTACTTTCAGCTAAGATCCATCTGATACCAGAAATGATATCTCTCATTGCACATCCTCTTCTGAATTCAGCTTGCATTTCTGGAAGCTCCCTGTCAATACACTGGTACAACTGTTCTTGAATTACCTTCAGTAAGATTTTACTTGCATGTGATATTAATGATATTGTTTGAGAATTTCCACATTCTGTGGGATGATCTTTCTTTGGAACGGGTACAAATAGGGATCTCTTACTGTCAGTTGGTCAGGTAGCTGTCTTCCAGATCTCTTGGCATAGCCAAGTGAGTGCCTCCAGTGTGGCATCCATTTGTTGAAATATCTTAATGGGTATTCCATCAGTTTCTGGAGCCTTGTTCTTTGCCAATTCCTTCAGTGCAGCTTTGACTTCCTCCTTCAGTGTCATTGGTTCTTGATCATATGCCACCTCCTGAAATGGATGAACATAGACCAATTCTTCTTGGTACAGTGACTCTGTGTATTCCCTCCATCTTCTTTTGATGTTTCCTGCATCATTCAATATTTTGCCCATAGAATCTTTCAGTATTGCAACTCGAGGCATAAATTTTTTCCTCAGTTCTTCCAGCTTGAGAAATGTCAAGTGGGTTCTTCCCATTTGGTTTTCTAATTCCAGGTCTTTACACATTTCATTATAGTAATTGGCTTTGTCTTCTTGAGCTGCTCTTTGAAATCTTCTGTTCAGCTCTTTGATCTTGTCATTTCTTCCATTTGCTTTAGCTACTCTCCACTGAAGGGCAAATTTCAGAGTCTGTTCTGACATCCATTTTGGATATTTTCTTCCTTGTCTTTTTAATGACCTCTTGCTTTCTTGATATCATCCCATAATTCCTTTGGTTTTCAGTTATTGGTGTTCAATGCCTCAAATCTGTTCTATTCAAGAGAGATATTATCGAGGTCATATTTTGGCTCTCATGGACTTGTTTTAATTGTCTTCAACTTTAACTTGAACGTGCGTATGAGCGGTTGATGGTCTCTTCCACAGTCAGCTCCTGGGCTTGTTTTGGCCAAAGATACTGAACTCCATCACCTGTTGCTACAGATATAGTCCATCTGATTCCTCTGTATTCCATCTGGTGGAGACCATGTGCATAGGTGACACTTATGTTGTTGAAAAAGGTATTTGCAATAAATAAGTCATTAGTCTTGCAAAATTCCATCATATGATCTCCGGCATTATTTCCATCACCAAGGCCGTATTTAACAACTACTGTTAACTCTTCTTTGTTTCCAACTTTTATATTCCGATCACCAGTAATAACACATCTCGATTGCATGTTCAGTCAATTTCGGACTGCAGAAGTTGGTAGAAATCTTCAGTTTCCTCATCTTTGGTTTTGGTGGTTGGTGCATAGATTTGAATACTGGTAGTATTAACTGATCTTCCTTGTAAGCATATGGATATTATCCTATCACTGACAGTGTTGTTGTACTGCAGGATAGATCTTGAAACATTCTTTCTGATGATGAATGCCACACCATTCCTCTTCAATTTGTCATTCCCTGCATAGTAGATCCTGTGGTTGTCTGATTCAAAATGGCCAAAACTGGTCTGTTTCAGCTCACTAATGCCTAGGATATCAATCTTTATACATTCCATTTCATTTTTGACAACTTCCAATTTTCCTGGATTCATACTTCGTACATTCCATGTTCAAATTATTAATGGATGTTTGCATCTGTTTCTACTCATTTTGAGCCGTACCACATCAGCCAGTAGAGGTCCTGAAAGCTTTACTCTATCCATATTGTTATGGTCGTCTCTATTCTGAGGAATCAGCTCTTCCCCAGTCAAATTTTGATTGCCTTCCAATCTGATGGGCTCATCTTCCAGCACTGCATTGGACAGTGTTTCAGGGCTATTCCTAAAATTTTCCAGTAATTTATCAGGCAGTGTTTCACTGCTATTCATAGGGTTTTCACTGGCCAGTTCTTTGAGAAGTGGATGGCTTCTTTCTTCTTCTGAGTTTTTCTTAACCTGGAAGCTCTGCTGAAACCTGTCCACCATGGGTAACCCTGCTGGCATTTTGCAACACTGGTGGCATGGCCTCCAGCCTCACATCAACATGTAAGCCACTACAGGACAACAAACTGACAGAAAAGTTTGTCACCCTTAGTTGTTCCTTACCCCTCTCTGCCTACCTATCTCAGGCCCCAGCCTTAAAATAGAGCCACCCCTAAGCGAAAGTAGCCCCTGAGCCTTGCACCCACCTACCTCAGCCCTGGCCTATCTGTTATAGTAATGGTTAAAAAAAAATATAAGAGCTATGACAATTCAGATGCTTCTACTTGGCTAGTAGGAGTATAAATTGATTAAAAAGAAAACACATACACACAGAAAAGTGGCAGTATCTACTAAAGCTGATACCCTGAGACTCAGCATTCCACTCCTAGATAACGTACCCAACAGAAATTCATACATACGTTCACCAAAAGACATTTAGTAGACAGTTCATAGTAGACTATTACACAGCAGTGAGAATGAATGATCTACAAGTATATACAAGATGAATAAATCTCACAAACGTAATATTAAGTGAATGAAGCCAAACATGGAATGGCCCATATTCTGTGGTTCCATTTATATAATTTACAAAAACAGATCAATCTAGTCCATACTGTTAAAATAGTGGTGACCCCAAGGGGAGGCATGGTGACTGGAAGGGAGTCTAAGAGGAGCTTTTGAGGTGTCGGTAATCTGTCTTTTGATCACAGTACTGGTTGTTACATGGGTGTGTTCAAAAGGTGAAAATTAATTGAGCTTCATACTTACAGTGAACACTTTTCTGTATGTACAGTATATTTGGCTAAAATTTTAGAAGTTTTTAAGTGTTTTGGAAATATGAACAAAGATTAATTCTAGCTGAGGGGCTCAAAGAAAATGATCAAAGGAGAAGTGGTAACCAAGCTGAGCTGGCAATGTTTGGATCTAGTGAATTGGTGAGGTGGGAGTTAGAGGAAAGCAGAGCATTTCAGAGAGAAGGTGCTACTACTTGAGTAAAGGCATGGAACCATCTGTTGAAGGTAAAATATTTTGGTTTGGCCGTGGCATTTTATATAAGTAAAGATGAGGTTGGAAAAGTAGGTTAGAGACAGACTGAATAAGGTCTTAAATGCCAGGGAAGGAATTTGGACTTGATTTTCACAAAGCCTTTAAAGGTCTTTTAAACCCAGAAGTAACCTGGTAAGGATTGTAGGGAGTTTAGCAAGATGAGAAATTATATTTTTATTTTCTGTGTATCAGTGGGGTGAGCCCTAGTCTCATTCATCATTGTTAATTCAGAGCTTCGTCCTGAATGAAAAAGGGGGGGGGGGGGTGCTGTTTCATACCACTGCTATCTCCTGTTCAACACTTTTGCTTTTCTACCTATCAAAAACAAAACCAACGTACAACATTACCTTGTAGTATCTCAGGCCACATCTCTTAAAGAGAGCCAACAGTCAGTATCTTTTTTGTTGCAGGCAAGAAGAGAGGCGGAGACGGTCCTTCCAGGATTATACCGGGCAGAAGATCACCCTTGAGGCTGTCTTAAACACTACCTGCAAGAAGTGTGGCTGTAAAGGTAAGGTGAAGCCTCTGCCATCCCAGTCTTTCTCTTCTTGCAGATGGACTCTTTACAGGATGAAGGAAGTAGCCTAGTGTGACTTTTGCTTACCCTGGTTTTTACCCAGTTGTTGGCCTCCCCTGCTCATGCTGTTACTCCTACCAGACTCACCCTGGAGTTCATGACTTGATGATGTTTTTCTGTTCCCTTCTTTGAATGCTGTCCTTGCCAGATACTATACCACTCCCTTCACTCCCCACTCTCTGCAGCTAATCTCTTGCCTGGCTAGGTCCCTGCTTATTATGCCAGGGTAAGAGTGTTGGATTATGATTCACACCCTAAATTTTAACTCTGAGACCACTATTATTCTGCTGTAAAAAAATTAAGAGACTTGGAAATACATTCCTTCAAGATCCAAGCTAAACTCTTTTTTATGTTTATCTTTTTTTGTGAACATGAAATACTTTTGGTAATAAGAACACGGGATAGTCACTTCCTTTTAGTTCTATTTCTTCAGGTTTCCTCTGGTCTTACTCAAATATTAAAGAGCTCTTTCAGCCTAACTTGCCTTCTTGGAGCTATAATGGGAGTGACTGCCAGCTTCTCATTTACAGAGTGACCTCAATTTGTCACCATTTCTCTCTAGCCTTCCACTGTCCTGCTCTGTTGATTTTTCTACAAAGACTGGTAGCAGACTAGTGGCCTAGTTGAGATTTTTGGGGTTTAAGCCCCTGTTGATCATTAACGTGGAGGAAGGAAGGGAAAATTAAAATGGAAAGAGAATACCTCCTTAGGGGAATTATAGGATCATTCTAGATACACTGTGTTGTATTCCCCTTTCAGACACCATTTAGCTTTTGTACCCAAAGGGGTAAAATAGTTCACACACAGCTTTTTTATTATCTAATACAGTTCCTCTGAATCCCTGAGGCAGGATGTAACACAAGCTCAGACAAACAACTCTGCACAGCATAGCATCTGCCAAAGGACCCTTAATAGCACTACAAGCTTAGGGGGAGTGGAAGTCCTTCACCTTGTGTCCACCAGGTGTTATGTACATGAGGCCTGGGAGAATAATAAGAAATGGACTTTGGCCTAGTCGGCAAAGGTAATGCCAAAGGGGTGGGTTTTAGTACATCAGAAAGATCACACAGGGCAGGAATGAAAGGGACCTGGGATAAGCTTTAGTTTGTTGTGAGCTACGTCTCTACTCTGGGCCTTCATATACTCTGCAATGGAAAGCATTGGATGTGATGATTTGTAAGCTTTTGCCAGACCTGACAATCTGTGAATGTTCAATGCCCCTAAGTACTTCTCTTTCTATGTGTTACCTTGGATGTGAGTGCCCCTTTCTGTTCGATTCCTTTAGGGTCTGGTCTGCCGTTCAGCTCCCTCTGCTAAGCGTTCTGCTCTCTGGACTAGTCTTTCATTGTCAGGCATAAAGTCCAAAATCGATCTTTAAGAATTAATAAGCCCCATAGCTAATGGAGGACAACACAAGTCTGCATCCTTACATCCAAAGCAGTGCCAGTGTTCTCCACAGTTCTAGGACCAGCTGCTAGCCTGGCTCTGATTGAGTAAGCAATGCTGTCATGAAATGACAGAAAATCTGTTTTGAATGAATTCAGTAATACCCCCTGAACCAGCTAGCCCCTTTAAGGAGTCTCTGATGAAGCTCCACCTGCTAAGATGAGACTTCCTCCCTCGCTTTGTCTTCTACCCTTTGCAGGCCACTTTGCAAAGGATTGCTTCATGCAGCCAGGTGGGACCAAATACTCTCTGATACCTGATGAGGAAGAGGAGAGGGAAGAGGCAAAGTCAGCTGAGTGTGAGAAGCCTGACCCCACTAAGAATTCTTCTAGAAAAAGAAAGAAGGTGAGTTATCTTATTATTATTATTATTATATAGATAATGTTTTACTGAGTTTTAAAATGTTCTGTTTGCTGAAATTTTGGAAATACTGAAAAACATAAGAAAATTTAAATCTCCTGTAGTTTTTTTGGGAGCTCTGGTGGCGTAGTGCCTAAGGCATTTGACTGCTAACCAGAAGGCTGGTGGTTCAAACCCACCAGCCACTCCTCAGAGAGAAGATTGGGCAATCTATTTCCATAGACATCGCCTTGGAAACTCAAGGAGAGGTTGCTGTAAGTTGGATCTGACTCAACGGCAGTGAGTTTGGTTTTTTGGTTTCTTGTAGTTTTTGTACCCAGAAAGACTACTGTTAGGATTTTTGGTATATTCCAACTTTTTTTCTAGGTGGTGATAAATATAGATATATAGATACACAATTATGGTTATACTAGGTATAGTTTCTTTGCTACACTTTTCATTTAACTTATCAAAACCATTTTCTAGTATCTTTAAGTGTTCTTTAAAAACTTAAAGACCTGTATAATATTCTACCTTATGTATGTATGATGATTTATGAATCATTTCCCTATTATTAGATGTTTGGGTTAGTTCCAACCTTAATCTTTGGCCACATCTCTTAATATTTTCCTTGGATAAATACCTAAGTAAGATTGCTGAGTGAGGGCTTTAAGTTTATCACACTTCTTCTAGAAAGTACTTAGCTACCCCGCAGTATATAAGAGTACCTGTCTCTCTGAATTCTATCACCTGTTTACTGTAGGGCAATTCATGAAACAGATACTATTTTCGTCCAGAAAGAAAAGGTGCATTTGTAGTCAGCTAAACAGAAAGGAAATAAAAGAACTATGCTATAGTTTGGCAAAGACATAGTTGATCTTTTATTGTGTAGTACTTTTTAACTGGTCAGTTACTGATTTTTGTTTCATTTTTTAAAGCTTTGGAAAACGCCTGTTGAATGGTCATTTTTTGCCAGTCATTGTGCAAACCTAGGAATACAAAGACTAAGATGAGGTCTTTGACTCAGTGGGCATTATCTGCAAACTGAATACTGTCTTCATTAATAAGTGAGAAAAAAGCTCCTTATACTATCGTAAGGATTGTAATATATATGAATAATGATTTATTACTTTTATTTATTGATTGATTATCTTTTCTCCATGGAGGATCATATCCTCTTAAGACTTTAGCTGCCTTAATGATTTCCACATCCTTCTGTAGTATCTCACAGGTACCTCAAACTGTGGCTCAGTCAAACAAACTTAGTTTGAGGCCCTTCTGTGCTACTTACCAGCAATGTAAATTTTTTTTTTTTTTTTAATTGTGCTTTAGGTGCAAATTTACAGAACAGACTGTGTTTTACATTCAACCTTTCATGTACATTTGGTTTCACCCCCCAGTTACCATTCCCAGCCCTAACCCACTCTCCTCCTCTCCCTTCCCAGTAACCCTCCCCTTCCTGTGCCCTTCTTAGTTACACACTCCCATCTGTCCAGCTTTTTCTCCATGTGAATGTTACCCCTCTGGTGACCCATGGCCAATTGCTCCAAGGGATGTATCTCCATACAGTAGGCGGGTACATCGCCCTGGGTTGAGTGTTCTGCATGTAAGTGTTAATTATTGTTGGGCTGAGAGCCAGCCCTTGGGAATAAGTTTTATCCCAGCCCCAAACTGTATCCCAGGGCCATAGTCTTGGGGGTCCCACCAGACTCCATCTGACCAGTAACTCTGGTCATTACTGTGTTTTTGTATTTTGTTCCACCTTTTTCCTCACACTCTGTACAAGATCTGCAGTTTTGATCCCTTAATGCCTGTTTGGTATTGGTAGCTGGGCACCATCTAGTTCTTCTGGTCTCGAGGTCCATCATGTCCTAGGGCTGATTGTTACCAAATGCCCTTGGTTTTTTCACTCTTTGCTTCTGATGATAGACGATTAGCTGCATCTTAGATGGCCACTCGAAAGCCTTTAAGACCCCAGTTGCTACTCACCAAAGTAGGTTGTGGAACAACATTTTTATGTATTTTGTTGTGCCTATTGAGTCTGGTGTTCCTCAATACTATGGTCCTGAGTCGGCAGATCCAACATATCTCTCTCCCACAGTGTCTGGCTGTCTATGACGGATTGCTGTATGTCTGTCTTCTTTTGCTTCTATAATGATTGCGGGTATTTTTTATCGCTAGTATCTGTGCAAGATTAGCCTCAGCTGAATCTATCATTGGTCTAGAGTATATTCCTGTTCACTGACCCCCCATCTGGTCTTCTCAGTTGTCTTGTGTTTATCTGTAGCCTGGTGTTTGGTGTTAATGGTAATGCAGGGTTGTGGATGTACTGTCGTCTATATTTTATGTGCATGATTCAGTGTCCTTCCTTTCCGCAGTGTTATCATGCTGGTCACAGACTTTTCCATACCATCCCTCCCCTTACCCAATTCAGCATGTGGCCCTCAACTAGTCCAATATTATCTCCTCCCCTTCCCTCCCACCTCTGGTAACTTACAAAGTGAGTTCCCTTCCCTAAGCAAACCTTTACTTGACTTTTTACAGTAATGAGCTCATACGATATTTGTCCTTCTGTGACTGACTTATTTCACTGAGCATAATGTCCTCCAGGTTCATCCATGTTGTGAGATGATTCGCATATTCTTCATTGTTCTTTAACATAGCACAGTATTCCTTTGTGTTAATGTACCATAGTTTGGTTATCCATTCATCTGTTGATGGGCATTTGGTTGTTTCTGTCTCTTTGCTATAGTGAATCGTACTGTGGTGAACATGTGTGTGTGCATATGTATGTTGTGTCCTGCCTCTCACCTCTTTAGGATATATTCCTAGTAATGGAATTGCTGGTTCAAATAGTATTTCTATTTTCAGTTTTTTAAGGAAACACCATACCATTTTCCACAATGGTTGTACCATTTTACAGTCCTACGAGCTATATATGAGAGTTCTGATCTCTCTGCAACCTCGCCAGCATTTGTTATTTTCTGTCCAGTTGAACTTTGCTATTATGGCTGGGGAGCTCTGGGAGCATTGTGCCTAAGGCACTTCACTGCTAACCAGAAGGCTGGCGATTCAAACCCACCAACCACTCCTCGGAAGGAAGATGGGGCAATTTACTTCTGTAGTGATACTGCCTTGGAAACCCAAGGAGGGGTCACTGTGAGTTGGGTCTGACTCGACGGCACATAACAACAGTTATTGCTGGGGTGAGATGATACCTCATCGTTGTTTTGATTTGAATCTCTCTAATGGCTAATGATTGTGAGCAATTCCTCACCTGTTCCAGCAATGAAATTTAGGCTGAATTCAGTTTCTTCATTTTTAAAATGGGATTCTTGTGATCTTTGAGGATAGTGTTTAGCTCTCAAAAATAGTTGTAAAGCACTGACAAGAAGTGCTTAATTAACATTGGCTGTTAAGACTATTAACGAGCTCTTGTGCCACAGTGGTTAAGGCATTGGGCCAACCAATGGTCAGCAATTCAGACCCACCAGCCTCTCTATGAGATATATGAGCCAATCTGTTTCTGCATAGATTGGCCTTGGAAAACCTGTGGGACAGTTCTGCTCTGCCCTATAGGGTTGCCATGAGTCAGAAATGACTCCATGGCAGTGGGTGTTTTGGTTTGGTCAAGATTATTATCTCTTCTCTAATACCTCTGTCCCAACATCCATAAAAACAACCACCATCAAAACTATTTGTATCCTCTTTCGATTACCTGTTTTAGGAGTAGCAATACCCTCCTAGTCTTTCAGTAAAGAAACCAATATGCCAGTTTTTTCCCCTCTGCTTTCCGTTTTATATCTAGCCAGTCACCAAGCCCTGTCAGTGACCTTTTTTGTGTGTGTCAGGTGGCTTGGGTGAAAGTTTACAGAAAAGATTAGTTTTCTATTCAGTTTACACACATTTTGTTTCATAACAGTTGCAATTTCCACAATGTAACATCACTCTTGCTTCCTCCCTAGATTCTCTTCCACCTGTCCTTCACTCCTGCCCCTTCCTGCCTTCTGAGCTTTGTTTTTGGGCAAATGTTGCTCTGTTGATATCATGTGGTTGATTATTCTGAGGAGTACATTCCTCACAATTGTTACTGTTCAGTTTATAGGCCTGTCTCTTGTTTGACTCCAGGGTGATCCCCCAGGGTGGGTTCAATCCCAGGTTTAAAGGCCCACTATACAGTTTATCTTCTCACATCTCTTACTCACATTCAGAATATTGAACTAGCCTGGGAAATTTTTAAAATACATATTTGTGCCCCCCTGCCATCCCCTACCCGCCCCAGTACCAAATCATGGGCCTGGATCTGGGCATCTGATTATTTTTTAAAGTACCTTCCTTATCTCACTGCCCAGTTCTCTCCATTGTTGATTTCCTACTTCTGCTTTAACTCTGAATAGTTGGAGTGCTCCAGGGCTCTGCTTTAGACTCCCTTCTCTTCAATGTCTGTCTTCTTCCTAAGTGATCTCATTCTGTCTCATGGTTTTAAATACAAACCACATGCTGATGACTCCCAAATTAAGTATTTTTATCCTTATTTTTGTCCAAGTCTGTATTTCTGTGTCTGACTTTTTCTCTGGAACTGTAGATTTAGATATCAGACTACCTGGTAGTTCCATCTGGTTGTTTATTTGGTTTCTCAAGCTTAACACACACACAGTTCTTAATTGTCCTTCCTAAATTAGCTTCCCACCACTGGTGGCTTGCGTGGTTGTCGTGATGCTGGAAGCTATGCCATTGGTATTGCAAATACCAGCAGGGTCACCCGTGGTGGACAGGTTTCAGTGGAGCTCCCAGACTAAGAGAGACCAGAAAGAAGGATGGAGCAATCGACTTCTGAAAAACTTCCCAACAGTAGAAGGCTTTAGTGGATGAAATACTGAATGACACAGGAACCATCAAGAGAAGGTGGAAGATACACAGAATCACTGTACCATAAAGAGTTGGTCAGCATTCAGCCATTTTAGGACATAGCATGTGATCAAGAACTGATGGTATTAAAGAAAGAA